ACCACCTCATGATATTCTGAGGCTTTTAATACTCCCATGTAGTCTTCTACCTTCCCTTTCTCGTATTCTACCACCATAGCATCTACGCTTATTATTTTTGGTGATACTTCTTTAGCCTCACTTGCCTCCGTAAGCACAGCTAGCATTGAGCATGCCTGAGCGAACTCGGTGATGTCGTCGCCTTTTTCGAATAGTGCGATGGTTTTGTTCCGCATACGCACTATTCGGCAGTGATTGTTTGCTACTGTTATCTTCTGTAGCGCCTCATACCTCTTACGTTTTATGCTCGTTTTGAAGGTGCTGCCTTTCAGGAGCAAGGCGAGGCCAGGTGAGATGATTATTCTATTTGGAGCCATCGCGTTACAGAAGCAAATACCCAGCCTTTCGGAGGAGTCGTTCATAAACATGGCTACCGTTTTGAGTCTAATACCTGGGTTGCCTAGTTCAGCATATTCTAGTAGTTTATTTGCAGGCTGATTAATTGTACTTCTGTATTCTATGTCTGTGGTTTGTGTTATTGTATTACTTAAATTCATCGTTTGCTGAGTTAATTCAGAAGAAAGAGTACTGTTTCTTTTAGCAGCTAAACGGATTGTATGTTCTGCAAACTTTAAGAAGTGCGGTTTTTTATCTGCGTCATCCAAGATGTTGTGTAATACTTCTTTATTTATTTTTATATCTAGTTTAAACTCAAGATCCATTCTGGCCATCTGGAATCGTGGGCAGTCCAGGATGATGTGCCAAACAGACTCCCTAATGTTGGGGTTGCACTCACAGCCGGGACTGTTTTTCAACTTAAACCGATGTAAGTACTCAGCTATTCCGCCGTGTCCTGTCATGATTTGCACTTGGTAGGGTGTCAGTTTTGCTTTCCTCACGATGCGATAAGCTTTTTCCACATCGGGGAAGAACGTTTTAGTGACTTGCCCTGTACAGGAGGAGTTGTACCTATCCTGCCATTTCCGTACAGACTCTTCTCTGATCTTTCTTTTGACATAAGACAACGGGACTTCTGCGTAGTCTGGGGTAGTAGTGGCTTGTTGGGCCGCCATCTTTGCTAGCTCATCGGCGCGTTCGTTTCCGGCAGTCCCCACGTGCGCTCGTAGCCAGAAAAACCGCACTCGTCTCCCCTGTAATCGGATGTCTTCTATGCACTCTTTTATATGCTTTGTCAGAGGATGGATCAACTTAGGGTTTCCCAACAGGTCGAGTGCGGACCTAGAATCGCTCATAATGTTTACTGTCTTTTCTTTGCTATTCTTTGCCAATTGAACCGCCCTGTAAAGTGCATAAAGTTCTGATTGAAACACGGTGCACGAAGGGGCTAAGCTAAAAGTAGAGTAATGGATTTCCTTGTCTTTCTCCCACCAAGTTAGAGCAGCTCCGACTTGTCCCTCTATCTTGCTGCCATCTGTATATATATGGGGGCCGGTAACCCGGCGGGAATCCAAAGACTCAAGATCCGCGCCCTCAAGGAGCTCGTATTCTGTTGTTATGAGTTTAGAGGGGTGTGGAAGATCCAAATAGCTCACCTTTTTCTCCAATCTCATTCCAGGTGGTAAATAGTCTAATGTAATACCTTTTTTTGTTTTGTACAGACATGCAGCTTCCTGGACTCTCAGGTCCAATGGTAATAGACCCGAGAGTACCAGTGACGCCGTGAGCGATACTGTGCGATACGCTCTGCAGATTTTTTGTGCAAATCCTCTTTGAAGATTATGCAGTTGATCGCGAATCATTTGCAGTTCTGTCACTGGAGCCCATACGCTAGAAGCGTACAGCACAATCGGCTCTATGACCGCAACATATATTGTCCTTGTTATTTCTCCATTTAGGCCCCACGTTACTTTTGCGGCGCGCGCTAGCTGTTTATAAATTTCCGCAGCTTTTTTACAGACAGCGGTAACATGTGGTTTGAATGTTAGTTTTCGGTCTATTATAATTCCCAGGAGTTTTATCTGATCAACCAGTTGCAGTTTGCGCTCTGACATGTAGATTTCTGGGGGATTGAATTTAAGTTTCTTAGTTATAAGCATCGCGTTAGTCTTGTGTGCTGCGAAAGTTAATTTGTTTCCCTCTCCCCATTTTACTACTTTCTTTAGAACTGCATTGGCTGATTCCTCCATAGTACTGACCTTGTGATCGGAGAATACAAGGATTCCGTCGTCTGCAAATGCCTGGCAGTATACTCCTTCCTCTGTAAGTTTTTGTAACAAGGGATCTAAAATGATGTTCCAAAAGGTTGGTCCTGCGATTGACCCTTGTACACAACCTTTTGTAGTGTCCCTCTCACATGTTGTTCTGGCATAGTTAACTACGATCTTACGGTCCCTAAGGTATGAGTTTATCATTGCGTAGATGTTCCTTGGGCAATTCTTTTTTATGAGCTGGTGCTTGAGTGCTGGCCACCATGCGTTGTCGAATGCTCCCTCTATATCCAAAGAGATGATAAGCACCATCTTCTTGTTGTAGAGTTCTGACCTTATATGGTCCATTAAGTCGTAGAGGGCATCTTCGGTTCCGCGCTGTGGCATGAAGCCATATTGGTTCGGATTTAACTTGGGTAAGATGTACCATTGCAATCGACCCACCATAAGTTTTTCGACTATTTTCCCCAGGACTGGTAGTAAACCTATCGGCCTGTAGGACTTTGGGTGAGTGTAGTCCTCTTTGCCCGGCTTACGGAGAATTATAACGTGTGCCTTTTTCCATTGCTTGGGAAAGTATGCTAACGATAGGCATTTATTTGCCAACGCCAAGAATACCTCCTTTTCGCTTTGGATGGCTACAGTGCAAATATCTGAAGTTAAGCCATCTTGGCCTGGAGCTTTCTTTGGGTTTAATGCTTTCAACACTGTCTCCAGTTCGGCCGGGGTAAAAGCTGGATCTTCCTCAGAGAGTTCTTCTATGTCCTCCAGTTTTTTGTGTTGTACCAGTCTTCGGATTTTCATGTGGTAGGACTTGTCAGTCGCAACAGAGTCTTCTGGATAAAAAGTGCTTGCCAGAAGCTTAGCCGATTCCTCCGGATTAAGGGTGTCACCTTCGACACTTCTCAGTAACATATCTTCTTGTCGTCTGGTAGTTTTTCTTATTACTCTATATATTCCATCCCACAGGCTTTTCTTTTCTTGCATTGAGCAGAACTCTTTCCAGCTACTTGTTTGTGCTTCAATGGTTTTTTCTACATATTCCTGTTTAGCTGTACAGTAGTCTTTTATAACGGATGCCATTCTAGTGGGAGCGGCGTCTCTTATTCGCCTTTTCTTTCGCAGGACGTCTCTTTTTAGGTTTTCTAGGGTTTTGGAACACCAAGGAGGCCTGCTTTTTGCCTTCCATACGCCTATTTTTGGAATGGATTTATCACAAGCATCCAAGATGGCTTCTGTATAGACGGTAATCTTGGTTTCCAGATCCTCTTGAGTGTAAATTTGGTCCATGGTTTCAGGTGTTATATTTTTTCCCGCTAGGGAGATTTTTAAATTCGTTTTAAATTCCTGCCAGTTCGCCTTCTTGGTGTTGTATTTGCGCGTGGTATTAGACTCGAATGATGTTAGTTGCTCGTCTAAGTGCAGAGTAAAAGTGATGGCATTATGGTCTGATGTTGTAAGTCCCCGATCCACACTCCAGCCGTCTATTCTTCCTAGTAACGACGAGCTGCACGCTGTGACATCAACAACGCTTGTGTATTTTTTGTTGCCCCTATACGTCTCGAATGTTGGTGTGTCTCCGGTGTTGAGAATGTGGAGCTCTATTTCGTTTAGGAAGGCGTTGTAAGCTGCACCTCTTTGGTCTTCATGGCTGCTTCCCCACCAGTGGCTCCAAGCGTTGACATCCCCGCCGACCAGAAGGTTTTCGGTTTGGAGTTTCTGGCAAGCCACTTTTGTGCGTACCAAGTAGGGCTCTATGTCTTGGTCTCCTTCGTAGTAGATAGACACTATTCCTAATCTCATCTTTCCTGCCCTCAGGAGTACCGCCACCTCAGTTTCGGTCACCAATTGCGGGTCATGTATGACTCCCAATCTGTCATCGAAAATGATGATTGCCGCTTTCACGGGTTTTTGGCGCTTAAGGGTGCACTGGATGATTTTTGTACCGGTGGTCAACTTCATTTCACCACTTTTGCCCACGTATGGTTCTTGTACGAGGGCTATTGAAACTCCCCTTTCCCTTGCTCCCTGTAGTAATTCTGTTGTCGCTAGTTTTGATCTTTGTAGGTTTGCTTGAATGATGTGCATGCTGTGAGTGTCTGTCTTTGGGAAATGTGAGCTTCTGTCATCTTGGCTGCCCTTAGCAGTATGAAATACGTGACCGCGCTATGCTATCCCATTTTTGCCTCTCAGGACACTCATTGCTAAATGCATTGTGTGGGGAAACTGAGCTTTTGCCATGTGCCCTCAAACAGTTCTTGCAGTTAGGAGCCTTTCCCTCTAATCTGTTTGTGCATTTTTCCCAGGGGTGGTTTTCTCCACAGTAACTGCAGAGATTTTCTTTTTCCTGGCAGATGTTTTTGGTGTGACCGAAGCCCAGACATTTTGTGCACTGCACTAAGGGGGATTGGTCTTCTACCGGTCTTCTCTGTAGGCCTATATAGATTTTTTCGGCTTCTAAGAAACGCCGGTGCAGTGCTGGAGAGAGTTCTATGATTGGGTGACATTCGTGCGTGTTTCTCGCCCTTTTCCTGTACCGAACCCTCATGACGTTTTCAGTCGCCTTGAGATCCTGGAACAGATGCTTATTCTGTACTCGCAGCTGTTCCACGATCTCGGCATCAGTATGGTATGATAATACGTCTTTTATTTTTATAAGTGGATTACTCATTTTGGGAGTCTCTGCCTTGAGTGTTTCATTTTTCTTAACCTGACTTCTTATGAGGTCCAGATCTTCTTTAGTGCCACAGCTTAAAACAACCTTTCGGTTCCTTGCTTTCCTTATCTTTTCTACTCTTGCTCCAGTCCTCTTTATATCAAGTGCTTCCCTGATCGTTTCAATGACATTCTCACCTGTTTTGTTGGGATCCGTCGACGAAACGATCAAGGTGTGGTTGGGCCTCAATACAGGCTTTTCTTTCACTTTTTGAGCATATGTCGGAATTGTTTTGGTACTCTTGACCATCTCTGCCAGCGCAAGTTCCGTACTAAGGCTTATCGCCGGTGGTGGCGTTTTCTGTCGAAGTTCACGTATGGTTTTTAGTTCCGATGAAACTGCTTCCAGACGTTCGGTGAGGGGCTGTAGATGTTCACTAAGGTTTAATGTTAAGGAGCTGGGGGTGTTGTCAAATGTATCTTGCGTTTGTGTGTATTTTATATTTTTAATTTCCTGCAAAATGTCAGTCTTTATATCGTCCCACTGCCGTTTGTCGTTGCATTCATATTGGGATGGAGACTGTGTGGTTAGAATTTCTATGGCTTTTGTACTGCTATTTTGGACGAGCGTTGTTTGGTCTTTGATTTCTTTGAGTTCTCGCCGGTGTTCGTCTAGCTGCCTTGTGACAATTTCTAAAGTTTTTAGAAGGTTTTGTCGTTCCTCCGGTGCTCTCTTTTCCGATATTTTAATAGTTTGACTGGTGAAGTTGTCGGAAAGATCCTGCAATTTTTTGTCTAGAGCCTTAATAGAATTTCCTATTTCTCCAATGATCCTGTGAGGTTCTCTGGTCTCGTATCCCAGCCATTCTCGGATTGACTTAGCTATATCCTTGGCCTCCGAGATGTCATTGCGAGCGTTCCCTATTTCCATGGAAAGGTTAGCTGTTATTTCTGCTATCTTTTTTGTGTGGGCTCGCTCCATTCTGATTAGTTCTTGGGCATGCCTAGATTTTTCCTTTTCCAAATTGTACTTGTGCCTAGATCTCGAGTCAGAGAGGGCGAGTACCGTCTCATATAGACTCTGAAGGCATTCGAGCGCCGTTGTTTTGCACTCCTTTTTCATATTACCCGCTGTCTCCAGCGCCTCCTTGCCCTTCTGTAACATCTCGTTAGCCAGTTTAGTAGCCAAGTCCATTTCGACTCCTCCATGTTTCGCCGTTGTTCGTATTATGCTTAGGCGTTTTGGTTCGGACGTAAACGATTCTGATGCAGATGAGTCCTCGTCTGAGATGATTGGACGAGGGGGGGATCTCTACCTGAGGCCAGGCAGCGATCTTTGCATCTATCGCTGGAGGTTTTTCGACGCTGGTGAGAGAAACATCTGAATCTTCGCTTACTGAAGATCGAGCCATTGGGACTTTTGCGAATACTTTTCTCCTTAGAGATTGTGTGGATTTTTGTGAGGAAGGTGGGCGAGACGAAGTGGCACCAGTAGTGGCCGGCAATGACCCTGTGGCGGCCCCCTCCAGGGCCTGAGCGCTTTGATTTTTGTTTAGTTGTGACATGGTCGCTGTTGATTGTTGTATTTTTATACTATGTTTTTAATGTTATATATATAAATATATATTTTTTTTAATCTTATTGTTTACAAATGCTTTTTTTTTTTTTTTTTTTTTTTTTTTTTTACAATTATCCTTATATATTAAAATATACTACTGCTGCTGGTGCTGCTGATGTTTCTGCTGTGTGAGGACCCTGAGACGAATCTTCAGTTTTCGGTACTTCCGTTTTCGGTGCAGAAGGGGAAAGTTGCTGTTGAAAGGGGGTATGTTGTGACGGGAAGCTCTGATTTTTTTTTTTTATTTAGAAAATGTGACAGAGCCAAATAATAGAGAATTTTCCCCTGATTTCAATGAGATGTCGCTCGTTGATCTACGATGTACCGTTCAAGAGTTAGAGGCTGAGGGGTATTTTGCTGGGGGGGTATGTGCTTAAGCGGGGGGGGGGGGGCGACCTTTCGCGTGTCGTTCAAATAAGGTAAGTTGAATTGGTGAGGGGGGGGGTTCACGGGGGGGGGGGGATTGAGGAGAATAATCCGTCACAACCAAGTTATAGAGAATTTTCCCCTGATTTCAATGAGATGTCGCTCGTTGATCTACGATGTACCGTTCAAGAGTTAGAGGCTGAGGGGTATTTTGGTGAGGGGGTATGTTCTTGAGGGGGGGGGGTTACCGAGCTTTTGAGTGTCGTTCAAAGAAGGTAAGTTGAGTGGGGGGGGGTTGTTATGGGGGGGGTTATGGGGGGCGTGGGGGGGCGTGGGGGGAGGTTTAGTAGGATAATCTCAGGAGCAAAATTATAGGGAATTTTTCTCTGATTTCAATGAGTCGTCGCGCGTTGCTCTACGATGTCCTGTTCGGGAGTAAATGGCGGAGGGGTATTTTGCTGAGGGGGTGTGTGCTCGAGGGGTGGTACCGACGTTTGGTTAAAGGTAAGTTGATATTTAGGATGTGCTGAGGGTGACGTCACTTGTAAGTAGTTTATTTCAAATTGAACACGCCGTCGAGTGCTTGAAGATGCTGATATTTTTCTTTTTTTTTTTTCCTGGTCCGGAGCACCCGGCTGTCTTCGAGTTGGTTTTGGAGCCCTATTAATATTGTCTTTGCTTCTTGCGACCACGTGGTGGTAGCAAACACGTGGTTTGTAGGTTATTTAGCACGTGGTTTTATAAAGATTCAATTGCTTATAACTTCTTCACTTTTTGGACGATTTTAATGATTTTTGCGCAGTTTAATAGATCTTATGACAAGCTACGCAATCACTTTATTAGAAAATATGTACCTTGTTTAACGGCCGCTGTGGAGGGGCCCAACTTTGGTGGCTTGTTGTTCCGGAACCCGGTTGAGTGGAGAGTTGATTTCAATTACACGTGTGAATTGCACTAAGCACTTTTAGTATTTATAACTTTTAATCACTTTCCGATACTTTTACTAATTTTAAAGTATTTTTTTTCGCGGAGCAGATGCTTCTATGTTGAGATTTCGAGGTATACTGGGTTAGGTTAGGTTAGGTTAGGTTAGGTTAGGTTAGGTTAGGTTAGGTTAGGTTAGGTTAGGGTAGGTAAGGTTAGGTTAGGTTAGGTTAGGTTAGGTTAGGTTAGGTTAGGTTAGGTTTTTTTTTATTATTATTACTTTCCTTACTACTACTTTCCTGCAGTACCCTTCTTTCTAGATGTATATTACTGTTTAGTTTTTTTACACTTGCCGCGTAAAGGATCGTAGGTTCTACTACCGCTATGTAAATAGTTTTTATTATTTCGGAGTTTAGTCCCCATTGTGCTTTTGCTGTTCTAGTCACTTTTTTATATAAATTGATAGCTTTCCTAAGAGCTTCATCAATGTGTTCTGTGAATCTTAAATTTTTGTCAATTGTGACTCCAAGTACTTTTAGACTCGCTGATGGTTGAACATAAACATTATCCATTCTTACTTGCGGTAGTTCTGGAGACAGTTTTTTAGTTATTATAACTGCTTGTGTTTTATGTGGTGCAAATTTTAACTTACGGGCTTTACCCCATGCAACTATTTGATCCAAGGCTGGGTTCAGTTCTTCCTCAATGGATTTTGCTGAGTGACCCTTTGCAATGACGAGTATGTCGTCGGCAAAAGCCTGAACGTGTACTTTCAGATGTGATGTAATTTCGAGGAGTGGATCCAAGAGAATATTCCAAAATATAGGCCCACAGGTTGATCCCTGAATACACCCCTTAGTGGTGGATTTAGTTACTACTGCACCTGCATATTTATAACGATATATATCTCGAAGAAAGGTAACTGGTAATCAATCTCAGAATATCTTGGCTCACTTGTTTTCTATGCATTTCTTTTATTATTTGAGGCCACAATGCATTGTCAAATGCCCCTTCTATATCCAGGGATACCACCACAACAACCTTTTTTTCCTTGAGCCCCTGTTTTATAAAAGACATTGCATCGTACAAGGCGTCTTCCGTACTGCGTTGCGGCATAAATCCGTATTGTCGGCTGTTAAGTTTACCTTCTTTACCCAATTGCCAAAGAAGCCTGGTTACAAAAAGTTTCTCTAATATCTTTCCGAATATTGGAAGTAAGCCAATAGGACGGTAGGCTTTGGGTACTGTGTAGTCCTCTCTGTTAGGTTTTGGAATAATTTTTATTATAGCTTTTTTCCAGGTTTTAGGGAAATAACCTATTTCGAGACTCTTATTTTAGATAGCCATTAGTGCTGAAGGTATGGTCTTATAAGACTGATAGCATATATCTGAGGTGATGCCATCCTCTCCGGGTGCTTTTTTAGGATCCATTTTATCTAAAACAGCTTCTATTTCTATCTCTGTAAAATTACGATGGGAAATGATCGAGTTTTTTCTTAGTTCATTAGTGATTTTGTCCGCTTCTTCTCGAATTTTGGTTTGTTCTTCAGTGTCTTTGTTTTTCTCATCATCTGGGTAGAAATTTTTTACCAATAACATAGCAGAGTCATTTGCGGTGAGAATTTCATCGCCTAATTTCAGCAGTTTGTCTTCATTAGTTACACTACACCTTTTAATTATTCTGTATATACTTTGCCATACAGTTTCTTTTTCTTGTTTAGTGCATAGTCTTTCCAACTAGTGGTTATTGCTGACATTATATTATTAACATACTTTTCTTTTGCCTCCACGAAATCCTGAATAACGTGCGGTTTACGTCTTGTATTGGCAAACTTTATCTTTCTTCTAAGTCGTATAACTTTACGTCGTTCTGTTTCTAACTGTGCATTCCACCAAGGTGTACAAGTTTTATAGACATTTTTAGATATAGTTGGTATTGATTTCTGGCATGCTAATTTTACTTGTTTGACATATGTGTCTACGATATCATCCAACTCCTCTGGTGTTTGTATGGTTTTTATTTTATCCTCTATTACGTTCTCCTTTTCTAATCTTTCTTTCAGGTCGTTTCTGAAGAGAGACCAGTTTGCCTTAGCTGTATTAAATAATCGAGTGGAATTCCTTAGCACGACGTTCTGTTTGTCGATATTAATTATCATTTGAAACTGTATGGCTCGATGATCAGATAGTGTGACAAAATCGGGGTCCACCCTCCATCTTTCCATCTTATGTAGGATTGCCGACGTACAACAGGTCACGTCAACTATGCTGCTATGTAACTTTCCTCCTCGGTATTGGTAAAAGGTGGAGTCACTGCCCTGATTTAAGACATTCATATCCAGTTCAGCTATCATTTCCGATAAAAGTAAACCCCTCTCGTCCTCAGCTCTGCTCCCCCACCAGAGACTCCTTGCATTAAAGTCGCCTGTTAGAATGATGTTTTCCGTGTCCATATCTTGCACTATTCTTGTTATCTTCCTTATATCATCTTCTATGTTACCGTCTTTCTCTAAATACACATTTATAATGCCTACAACAAGTTTTCCTATTTTAACTATGAATCCTACAATATTTTCGCTAACATGCTCTGGATTTTCTATGATTAAGTAGGTTGGATCAACAACGATGACTGCCGATTTAACCGGTTTGTCTCTATTACTGGTAGTCTTTTGAATTACGCGACGATTACAAGTTACATGTGCTTTTGCACCTACATACGGTTCTTGGAGTAGAAGCAACGCAACGCGTTGTCTTATTGCCATGTGAAGACATTCCTTAAACGCTGCCATTCCTCGGCCAAGATTTACCTGTACTAATTTGGTAGTTAGTGTATCCGCTGAGTTTGAATTTGGTGCATTATCAGCAGAGGAGTGTGTACTTAACCGTAATTGCTCGATGTTAATACCCTGATCAATCTTAGCAATATGCTACCGAGGACCTGGCTATGCGATCCCACTTCTGCCACACTGGACATTCATTGCTGTATGCTACATGACTGAGATCACCCACAATTTTGTTTTTAGTGCAGTTGGCGCAAGTTGGTGCTCCATTACTGCGTGGACATTCTCTGCTGTCATGGTCCTCTGCGCAATACCCGCAGGTTGATTTATCTGCCCAACACTCTCTAGCCCTATGTCCAAATCCCATACATCGGTAGCATTGCACAACAGGAGATTGGTCCAGGGCGGGTACCACTTGGTATCCCACATGCAGTCTTTGGTCTTTCAGTGCCTTCCATACCTCAGGGCTTACTTCCAATATTATATTGTTAATTGCCGCTGTTCTCCCCTTAATTCGTCTCAAGACCTTAGTCTTAATCTTTTCTATTTCGATGTGTTTTAGGAGCTTCATGTTTTGGTTAACTATTGCCTCTTCTAGTTTTACATTGTTTAGATCATTAGCTACTCCTATTAATTTAATTAGTGGGTTTTTAGCTGTTGACTTTGAGACCGTAAGCTTCTGATTCGAGTTTTTTATTGCATTTTGAAGCTTTTGCCGGTCCTCGTCATTGTCGCATGAGAGAAGCACCCTCTGATTTCTAACCCTTCTTATATTGTTAATACCTACTCCAAGTTGTACCACATCGATGTTGCTCTTTATAGTGTTAACAACATCTTCGCTTGTATTTCTGGGATCCGAAGATTCAACAACAAGAGCAAACCGTGGTGAAGTAAGTGCTTCTGCATAAGATTTTATTGGGCGAGTGGCTTGTTGTTCTTTTATTGGGACATTTTTGGGACTTTCCATTATTTGGTTTGTTATGGTGCTACAGTTATATGTCTCTAGATGATTAAGCTTGTCTCTGATTTCTGCAATTTCCAGCTCCGCACCCAAACCTGCGTTATTCTGAAACGCACTTTGGCTTACTCCGTAGTCTCTTATTTCCTTTATGTCCTCAGTGATTTTGTCTAATCTACATAAGACTGGTTCTATGGCTGTTGATGTACTATCCATAGCTGTTGACTGTGGAGATGTCAGATTTATGACTTGTGTTTGCAGATTACGGATTGTATCTTTAATATTTGACATGTTATTGGCAATATCATCAATCCGAGGATCTTTCCATGAGTTTAGAGCCAGCGCAATGTGTTCAATACTTTCTTTGTCCGCTACATTATTTTTAAAGACGTTGATGTCAGAACCAAGTGCATTAAGCTTTTCCATGATGCCACTTACTTGTTTCTCTATTGACGCCAATTCTTCCCTATTGTATGTGTGTTCTTTCCTTAGTTGTTCGCCATTGATGCAAGTAGATAGATCTTGGCTTGTTTTGGTTGATATTTCATGTATTTCCTGTTTTATTTTGTATATAACTTTTATAGGGTCATCCATTTCGTAATTTAGCCAACCCCTTATTGCCTCTGTCGATTTTTGCGTTTCCTGCATGACCTCTTGGATGACTTTAAGTCTGAGTATAGGTGGATTGAAGCTCTGTTAGCTGTTTCGTATGTGCTCTTTCAACTCTCACCAGCTCTTTCGCTGCTCGACTGCGTTCCTGTTCTAAAGCCAGTCGATGACGAGAGCGTGAATCAGATAGTGACAGCACTGTTTCTTATACTATTAATATGGTGTAGAAACGTTTAAAATGTGCTTTCCTTTTTAATAATTTCTTCAATGGAGAAGGGTTGTACTTTAAAATTGGCGCAAGTTATCGTATGGGTTAGACGTGTAGCTTGGAATTTTGGACAATCATTAAGTAAATGGAAAATTGACTGTACTGCAGTGTCGTCGCAAGGGCATGTGTTATTTTCCACTATTTTAAATCTATGAAGGTACTCTTTGTGGTAGCCGTGACCTGTAAGAATTTGTGTTAGTGTGAATGAGTGCTTGGTGACTTGGTATAATTCTTGTATGTGTGTAAGTGTAGGGAGCCATTTTCTGGTTATTTCACCTTTCATGTTATCTTGGTAAAATTGTTCGGAAGCTACTTTACTATCTTGTTGAGCAAGTTTTCTTACGAAGCTAATTGGAAATTTTATGAGAATAGGGACGTTATGGCTTGTGGCTGCAGCTTTGGCTGCCAGGTCAGCAGCTTCGTTACCAGCTATACCTGTGTGGGCTTTGACCCAAATGAAATTAACTGATAAGCTGTGGTTGTCTAGCATTCTGTGGATGTTGGTAACTATTTGATTTGTACTATTGGGGTTACCGATTTCTTGTAGTCCAGATTTGCTGTCAGTCAGAATAGCTGCATTCGGAATGTGTTTATTTGCAAGCCACACACAAGCTTGTTCTATGGCTTTCAACTCAGCTTGAAACACCGAGCAAGAACTATGGAGTTTTAGTTTTCTAGTTATAATTTTACCATTGGGGCAATATACAACAAAAGCTCCCCCAACCTTTTCGTCGTGTCTACTACCATCTGTGTAGATGTGATGAGTGTTTTCGAGGAGAATCTGATTGACTTCTTGAGCGTTATTGGCTTCTTGGTAATGGATAATTTTGCGACGAGATGGATGTAATCGTTCTTCTGGTTTCGATGGTGTGTCTAAACTAATGTCTGTTGGAAGATATTTGCTTATGCCTGTTAGTTTCGTTGTTTCGATGATTGCCAGTTCATTAATTTTAATGTGTATAGGAGTCAGCCTTGCCAGTGCTATTGCATTAATGGTATTTACGGTTCTAAAACCTTTAATTATTTTTATAGCAAAACCACGTTGCAGGGATAGCAGCTTGTCTCTTACATGTTTATATTTTAATGCCGAGTGCCATATGCTGGGCGCGTAACAGATAATTGGTTCAATAACATTTTTATATATAATCTCAATATTTTCGGATTGTATTCCCCAAGTAGGTCGGATATATTTTAATAATTTGTTATATATACTTCTTGTTTTGACCAATATATGATGAACATGTTGAATGAATTTTAGTTTTTTATCTATAATGATGCCTAGAATTTTTATATAATTTTCCAATTTGATGGGAGTGCCAGATACTGATATTTTTATTTTCTCAGCTTTACCTGTGAAGGCAATTGCTTGGGTTTTCTGAGGCCCAAATTTTAATTTGACTGACTCTCCCCAAATGGTGATTATATGGAGTGCCTTATTAATTATTTCCTGTAACTTTAAGGGGTCTTTGTCGTGAGCAATGAGCGTAACGTCATCAGCAAAGGCTTGAATATGACATCCTTCGGGCAAGTCCTTTTCAAGTAATTCATCCAAGATCAGGTTCCAAATTGTCGGTCCGCAAACTGAACCTTGGATGCATCCTCTACTCATGGCTTTGTTGGCACTGCTGCTTGAGAAATTTATGCTAACTGTTCGCTCGCTGAGGTAGTTTGTTATTAGTTTGTATATATTCTTGGGGCAATTAATTATGTGGAGTCTACGCAAAATAGCGGGCCACCAGGCATTGTCAAATGCCGCCTGAATATCCAAAGAGACAGCGGCAACTTGATCTCCCTTGATTTTACAATTTCTAACAAATGTAATCATATTATTAAGTGCTTCTGTCGTTGACCTTTGTTCCTTGAACCCATAATTTTTACTATTGAATTTGTTGTTAGTGTAAATAAAATGATTTAGTCGTTTGATGACCAACTTTTCAAGGAGTTTACCAAAAACATTAAGCAGTCCGATGGGGCGATAAGCTGAGATTTCAGTATAGTCAAGTTTGTTGGGCTTAGGAATAATAATTACTTGCGCATGTTTCCACTGTCTAGGGAATATTGATAAAGCTAGGCATCTATTCATGATATTCGTTATTAGTTCTGGAAATGTTTGAGTGAAACAGAAGCATATGTCGGAGGTAAGGTGATCTGGTCCAGGTGATTTTCGAGGGTTCATATCCTTGAGGTTATGGAGGACTTCATCAATAGTAAATGGAGGATCATCATTTGTATTCGGTGGAAATTTTATGGTTTGTCGGGTGACGGTTTGGGAACTATATGTGTCAATGGTGTCCTCTGGATAAAATTTTTGAAGAAATATATGGGCTGTTTTTTCAGAAGAAGTAGTATATTTGTTTGGTGCTATTTTGAGGGTGGAAGGTGGTAGGGTTGGGATTGAATTCTTCAGCAATCTATTTGTAACTGACCACACATCTTCCTTACCTTGTTTGTTGCAGAATTCACGGAAGTTTTCAGTTGAGGCCTTTCTGATTGCTTCGGCGTATTTCTTTCGGAGTTGGGTCTTGTTTGTAATTGCTTCGTTCATTGGAAGACGTTTTCGACTAAGTTTTTGAAGCAGGTGATGGTTGTCAAGAACTTTTCTTTTTAATTTTTCTAAGTCTTCGGTCCACCAAGAAGGGCGCTCAGGACGAATAGAAGAGTGGGGGAAGATACTTTTTACAAATTTTGTGAATAAACGCGGTTATTTCATCAATAAAGTGTAGTAAGTTATTTGGATCTAAGGATAGGATGTCAATTTTGTTAAGTTGGGTCAGTTCAATTTCTCTGGAAAAGGCTTCGCTTAGTTTTTCCCATTGCTTAAAATTATTAGTATTATATTGGTAAGTCGATTTTTTCTTATTCTGACGGATATGATTTTTATTAAGGAAATATTAAAATTTGATACCATGGTGATCAGAGGAGGGACATATAGAATTATCTATTTCCCAATTAATAATATGATTCGAGATTGAGGATGAAGTTATGGTGAGATCAACGATGGAACCACGTAGAATTCCATCCGCTGTAGTTTCATATGTATGATCTGTGCCAGTATTATTGATGGTAAGATTGTGAGGAATAATAATATCAACTATTTCTTTACCTCTTTTATTCGCTGTGGGAGATCCCCAAAGTTGGTGCCAGCCATTTAGGTCTCCCGCGATAATATGAATGGCGTCTCCTGTTTCAATTATAAATTGTTCCAAGTGGTTCAATGTTTCATTTTCATCGTCTTTGGGCTCTACGTAAATGCTAGTTAGAAATATTCTTTTCCCAGAAGTGATGAGCTGTACTATACATAAATTTGGCGTTGAACATTTTGAAATCCCGAGGCAGCTGCCAAGACCTTAAAATATGAAAATTATATATATAACTTTAGGAATTAACCAAGAAAACTATATAGGATTACGGGGGGGCAGTTAGTTACACTATTTAAATAGAAAATTTAAAAGGAAAAGGCCAATTTTCAGCCGTGCTATAGATGAATACGTGTTTTTATTGATGAATTTAAGAAAGAAATAGACTGAAAATATGAAAATAAAATATATAACGTTACGAATTTACTGAGAAAACTATAAGGAAATGTGGGGGAGCAATTAACTACACAATTTAAAAAAAGATTTGAACGAAAAATACCAATTTTTAGAAAAGTTATTAGCGAATTTATAGTTGAATTTATGTGATTGTTTTGGTTGACCACTATACCTCGGTTTAGGTATATAGTGATTTTTTCCAGTTCTATATGTTTTATAAAGCAAATAAGAGTGCAGATGGTAGTTTCTACACTAGACGGACCTAATAAAAGCAAAAAGAGCGAAATAAATGAAGATTTGAAAAATTTTAAAAATTTTAGGAAATTACGAGTATAGGAAAACGAATTTTGTGGAAATAAATATTTTAGCGACAGAAATTTACTATAAAAACTATAGATAAATACGGGGGGCCGGTTAAATACACTATTTAAAAAGAAAATTTAAACGGAAAAGGCCACTTTTCAGCCGAGTTATGGATGAATACGTGTTTTTATTAATGAATTTACGTAATTAAGAGACGGAAAATATGAAAATTATATATATAACTTTAGGAATTAACCAAGAAAACTATATAGGATTACGGGGGGCAGTTAGTTACACTATTTAAATAGAAAATTTAAAAGGAAAAGGCCAATTTTCAGCCGTGCTATAGATGAATACGTGTTTTTATTGATGAATTTAAGAAAGAAATAGACTGAAAATATGAAAATAAAATATATAACGTTACGAATTTACTGAGAAAACTATAAGGAAATGTGGGGAGCAATTAACTACACAATTTAAAAAAGATTTGAACGAAAAATACCAATTTTTAGAAAAGTTATTAGCGAATTTATAGTTGAATTTATGTGATTGTTTTGGTTGACCACTATACCTCGGTTTAGGTATATAGTGATTTTTTCCAGTTCTATATGTTTTATAAAGCAAATAAGAGTGCAGATGGTAGTTTCTACACTAGACGGACCTAATAAAAGCAAAAAGAGCGAAATAAATGAAGATTTGAAAAATTTTAAAAATTTTAGGAAATTACGAGTATAGGAAAACGAATTTTGTGGAAATAAATATTTTAGCGACAGAAATTTACTATAAAAACTATAGATAAATACGGGGGGCCGGTTAAATACACTATTTAAAAAAGAAAATTTAAACGGAAAAGGCCACTTTTCAGCCGAGTTATGGATGAATACGTGTTTTTATTAATGAATTTACGTAATTAAGAGACGGAAAATATGAAAATTATATATATAACTTTAGGAATTAACCAAGAAAACTATATAGGATTACGGGGGGGCAGTTAGTTACACTATTTAAATAGAAAATTTAAAAGGAAAAGGCCAATTTTCAGCCGTGCTATAGATGAATACGTGTTTTTATTGATGAATTTAAGAAAGAAATAGACTGAAAATATGAAAATAAAATATATAACGTTACGAATTTACTGAGAAAACTATAAGGAAATGTGGGGAGCAATTAACTACACAATTTAAAAAAGATTTGAACGAAAAATACCAATTTTTAGAAAAGTTATTAGCGAATTTATAGTTCGGTTAGGTTAGGTTAGGTTATGTTGGGTTAGGTTAGGTTAGGTTAGGTTAGGTTAGGTTAGGTTAGGTTAGGTTAGGTTAGGTTAGGTTTTTTTTTTTTTTTTTTCCTTTATATATTTTCCCATGAGGAATTGCTATTGGTATACAATTCCTTATGGTACATGTCGCTTGTGAATTACAATTTGGTATATTTCAGTTGATAAAATTATTAATGTAAAACAATGGCAAATAAATAAATATTTCTTGTGATATTTAAAATAGTTCACATTTTAAACGTGATTCACTCATTTAAATTGTTAGTTACTCCGATTTCTCTGAGATGTAGCAAGTGCCAATTTATGTTGAGTTTACAAATGTATTATATTATACCTTTTACTCTAAATTTAAGCCTAGAATTATTTAACTAAACAAAATATCTTTTTATACTTTTAACACAAAAATAAGCCTAGAGCTATTTACAAAAGTATTATTAATTTTTTTTTATTACAAGTCCTTATGGTGTATGAATAACATTCGTATCAAGTGCTCTGAATGAACTTTAGCTTACAAATGTATTATTATACCTATCACTAAAATTAAGCCTAGAGTTGTTTCACAGAACATACTTTACATTCTATACCTTATATACCTTATCCATAAAATTAAGTTACATTTATCTCTAAAATTATGCCTACAGTTTTTTTTTTTTTTTTAAAGTCCTTATGGTATATGGATAACATTATTTTGTTAACAATGACTCATTTTTCTTATATACAATATGCTTTTATTCGAGATGTATCAAGTGCTCTGCATGAATTTTAGTTTACAAATGTATTATTGTATCCGGCACTAAAATTAAGCCTAGAGTTGTTTCACAGAACAAACTTTACATTTTATACTTTTATCCCTACAGTTAAGCTATATTTATCGCTAAAATTAAGCCTACAGTTGTTTTCAAATATATTATTATACCTTAATTACTAAAATGAAGCCTAGAGTTAATTAACTTTTTTTTTTTTCCTACCTACTTCCATTGAGATTTTTAAGATTATTAACAATATGAGTAATGTGGTTTTTAAAGGATTCAACGCTGCTTTCCTTACTAATTATCTCAGTCATATCATACGGTTTAATTTTAAGCAGTGTGCATGCGATCTCATGATTTGCCCGAGTTCTACTGAATACAGGGCACCGCTGAACAAGATGTGCCATAGATTGAATACTGGATGAGTCGCATGGGCATTTGTCATCGTTTGTTATTTTAAAACGGTGTAAATACTCTTTGTGGTACCCATGATTGCTGAGGAACTGTGTCATTGCAAAGTTAGGATTTAATAGTTAGTAAATTGGTTAGGTTAGGTTAGGTTAGGTTAGGTTAGGTTAGGTTAGGTTAGGTTAGGTTAGGTTAGGTTTTTTTTTTTTTTTTTAATCAAATTGAGGCTCTCAGCGTATAGTGCAATATGCTTTCGGGATACAATTTGCACTATACAGAGTGATTTTCTCTTTTGTGTTTATTAGTTTGTGCTTTTCTTATTTTGTTTACTTTATGTTATATAATATTTTTTTTTTTATTAGCCTTTATTAAATTTTTTAAGTGACTTTACAATTTTTTCTACGTGTCTTGTAAAACTTTCTATGCAAGATTCCTTTTGTATAACTTCAATTAGTTTGTATGGGCTTATATTAAGATTGCTGCAGTGGATCTCATGATCAATTCGGGTTTGACTAAATTTTGGACATTCTTTTATTAAATGATCAACCGTTTGTTGTGTATTACTATCACAAGGACATTTGTCATTTTCTGTTATTTTAAAACGGTATAGGTATTTTTTGTGGAAGCCATGATTGGATAAAACTTGTGTTACACTGAAAGACAATTTGAATTTTTCTAATACACTGACAAGAATTTCATACGTGGGACACCATGTTTTAAGATATGTGCAATTGTTTGGATTATTATAATAATTTTCAGCTACTGTCTTGAGTTCTATTTTGTGTTTTTGCTTTACATAAGAAATTGGGAAATTACAATAGTCCGGTGTTTTGTTCAGATTTGACGCTGATTTTGCTGCTGTATCTGCAAGCTCATTACCAAGAACTCCATTATGCGCTTTAATCCAAACAAACTTAATAGTTTTATTTAGTGTTTGAGCTTTGATTATATTACGGTGAATTTCTACGGTTAATGGGTTTGTACTCTCTGGGTTTTGGATTTCTTGTAAGCTTGATTTACTGTCGGAAAAAATTGTGAATTTATGTAGTTTACTGCTGAGTATCCAGTGTATTGCTTTTTGAATAGCATATATTTCAGCTTGAAAAATTGAGCACGTGTTATGTAACTTGTATTTCCTTATTAATTTTTGACCTTCATGAGATAACACAACGTAAGCTGCCCCTACTCCATTTTCATTTTTGCTTCCATCTGTGAAGATACAGGATGAAGACGATGTTTGATGTAGCTCTACTTCTTGCTGACATATTGCTTCAGTAAATTCTATCGTTTTCCGTTTTGAAGGATGAAGTAGCTCCATAGGTTTGGAAGGTGATTCAAGCTCTATGTCTGTAGGTAAGTATTTTGATGTACCTAGTTGCTTAGATATTTCTAGATCTGCTACTGTATTAATTTTGTCTGGAAGCGGGTGTAGTTGTGCTAAGCTGATTGCAGTTGCCGTACTGATTGTACGGAAACCTCTTATGATTTTTATGGCTATTGTTCGTTGTAAGGAAATAAGGCGTTTATTGACATATTTATATTTAAGGGCTGGGTTCCAAACACTTGCACCATAACACAATATAGGTTCTATTACATTTGAGTAGATGGTACGGACATTTTCTGGATTAATTCCCCAGGTCGGTTTTATATACTTTACTAGTTTATGTAGTAGATTAAGGGATTTGTTTATTATGTACTCTGCATGTTTTATAAAATTTAATTTCTGATCGATGATAACTCCTAAGTATTTAATCTGTCGTGAACAATTTATGTATTGGTTTCCCATTGTTATTTTGCATTTTTTAGCTTTATTGGCGAACGCAATCATTTGCGTTTTATTCGGGTTGAATTTAAGCTTAATTGAACTACCCCACTCCAATATCTGTTTAAGTGCAGTCTGTGTTGTAGTTTCTAGAGTAGCGAGATTTTTTAGCGTATGTGATTAGAAAAAGGTCATCCGCGAATGCTTGCAAGTGGCATCCATCAGGTAGAGTTGACGTTAAAAGCTCGTCGAGGATTAAATTCCAGAACATGGGACCACACACTGATCCCTGAATACACCCTCGGTGCATTGGTTTGGTAGCCGAACTATCGGCGAAGTCAAGTTTTACTTCGCGATCTCTTGTATAATGTTGGAGTAACATAAATATATTCCTAGGACATTGAATCGATTTTAATCTTTGGTAAATAGCCGGCCACCATGCGCTATCAAACGCAGCTTGTATATCTAACGATACTGCTAGGACTTGCATATTGTTGCTTTTGGCATTTCTAATTACGTCTAGGACTTTTTGAATTGCACACGTGGTCGAAGTTTGCTCTCTAAAGCCATATTGTACCTCGCTCATTGCATTAGTTTTATGTAAATGATAGGTTAGTCTCTTAGTAATGAGTTTTTCTAAAGTTTTCCCAAAAACATTAATAAGTCCTATAGGTCTAAAAGAGGAAGTGTTAAATTCAGTTTTATGAGATTTTGGAATTATTTTTATGTATGCAGTTTTCCAGATTTTTGGGAAATAACTGAGTTCAAAGCATCTATTCATTATAGCGGTAATTACTGAGGGATACAATTTAGTAAAATTAAAGCATATGTCTGCAGTTAAGTGATCTAGTCCTGGTGATTTTTTAGAGTTCATCGTTTTGAGAGCGTTTAAAACTTCTTCAGTAGTAAATGGAGGGTCTGACGGTGTGTCTGGTACTATTTTAGAGAGACTGCGTATTTCCATGTGTCTAGAGCTTATGTCAGGTTCGTCTTCAGGAAAATACTCGTTTAACAATGTTTCTGCGGTATCCTTGGTGGTTGAGGTGTAGTTGCCTGCTTTCGTTTTTAGTGTCGTTGGTGGTTGAGTTAGAGGTGTAGTTTTAAGAAGCCTATTAGTGACACTCCAAACATCTTCCTTCCCCTGTTTATTGCAAAACTCTCTGAAATGGTTGGTTGATACAGTTTTGATTGCCTGCGCATATTCTGTCTTTAGTTTTGTCTTTTCTTCTATCACTTCAGTTAATGATTTTTTCCGTCGTTTCAATTGCTGGATCCTATGATGATTCTTGATAACTTTTTGTTTCAGCTGCTCTAGCTCGTCATTCCACCATATTGCTCTATTGCGTGCTCCTCCTTTTTGTGGAAACAGATAATCACAAGATTTTTGTAAAGCTGATGTTAACCCCTTCGCTCTGACAGCGCGCGACATGTTATACTCCCGTTCGCTCGGGACCGTAATGGCGGGAAAATTTGCAAATTAGCAAATTTTTTGCTATATTGCAAATTTTGCTATATTTTCACTTTGAGACAATATTTATGGATAAAACTTACAGGATTTCTTGTTGAATGTATAAACTATCGAATAAAATTATTTTTGGTTGCTAGAAATTGTAATAAAATACGTAAATTACCCTGTATAGCTGTATAGTGATATATACTTCAATTTTAGTGACAAAATTACTACTAATTTGAATTCTACACTTTTGTTTTTGGAGAAATTTATATCAAATTGTTTGGAAATATGTATATTTTTATGTTTTATGTGTTTCCATTCGTTACTCATACCAAAATATAAAATATAAAGAAATTAAAAAAATTAAATATTAATATTTTATCTGTGTGACATTTAGAACAATATTTCTAAAATAGTTTTGTGTGAATTTGAAATAAATACAACGTCAAGTTATTTGAAATATGTAAGAAAACTATTTTTACTTACATTTTACACTAAAAATAAATGAGAATGTGAAAAATACCACATTTATGACCCAGCCGCCATAATTGGCCTTCCAGATTTTGAAGCACTTTTGGCAATTTACTTTTCACTTTTTATACCACAAATTATATATATATGTGTTCACTATATTACAAGGAATATAAAAAAGTATAATACTTTCGTTTTTAGTCCAGACACAAATATAAAATTCTATAAAAAAAGACGGAGCACATTTATCAAAACGGCACGTGGAACGCCGAAAGTTTAGAGTGATTTCTTTTTTTTTTTCTAAGAAACATTGCCAGGTTATGGTTTAAAATAAAAGAGCATATCTTTGTCTTTGATACTATTATCTATTGCATATTGTCTTTGGTTTTGTTTTAAAGGAAAAAGTAGTTTTTTCATAAGGCAGTACTTCTGATATTATCTGATCTAATTAGCCCCGTACTAGAGCGGGCGTAAGGTAGGTATTGTATGATCTGATTAGATTGGTAGCCGAGCGATAGGGTTAAATTGCCTATGAATTGTTCTAGTTCAAAACTATTGAATTGTTCTATGTTTACATTTAAATCTATATTTTTTTCAACTTCTTCTTTGAAAGTTGTTTGGACTTGTTCCCATTTTACATTTTGGGTATGATATTTGAACGTGGATAGTTTCTTTGGCTTGGGTATACTGTTTTTATTTATCAATAATTCAAAAGTTATTGCGTTATGACCAGAGGATGGGCAGACTTTTATATCAATTTTCCAGTTACTGATTCGATTTGATGACAGATTGGAGGTTAAAGTAAGGTCAATTATGGATTCTCGATGGATGTTGTGAGTAACAGTCTCAAATGTTGGTACATTTCCAGAATTACAAAGGTTAAGATCGTTAGTGGTTAATAAGTCTGCTATAATATTTCCTCGCCGATTTGCCCTGGATGAGTTCCATAAAGGGTGCCAGCCATTGAAGTCACCACAAATGATATGGCTGTAATTTTTTGTCTTTTGTAGAAAGAGCTCTAATTTATTAATTGTGTTACTTTCATCCGTATTTGGTTCAACGTATACACTGATAAGAAATATTTTTTTGCCGTTTGTAGTTATTTGTACTATACAAATGTTGGAAGTGGAGTCTTCTGAGATGCCCAACGAACTCCCGATATTTTGTTTGATGAGTATGCACGCTTTGACATGATGTTTAGTTGAAAACTGGTGAATATGGTAGCCGGGGCAACGTCTCATATAGGTGCCACTTCCAACATAAGGCTCGTTAACAAACACTATGTCAATCTGATTATCCGTCACATACTTAAACAATTCGTTAGTCGCTGCGTATCCTCTATCTAGATTTATTTGTAAACATTTAAGCGGGTTGTAACTATTTGTTGCAGTTTTCCTATTTTTTCTTTTAGTATCCATAATCGGTTTTATTTTTGCAGGTTTCAATTTGTTTGAGAACACGAGGGCAGAATAGGGACGTGGTGCTGTGCTTAGTGTTTAAATTTAAGTTGTATTTTTTAGCGTGTATTGTACAGTTGTGGCAGTTTATTTTGTTTATATCTTTTTTTACTGGACAGTCTTTGTATGTGTGTGTATTTGAGGAGCAGTGGGAACAGATTGTATTGCCTTCAGTGCAGTGCTTTTTGGTGTGTCCAAATTGCATGCACTTATAACACTGAAGGAATGCCGGAAAGTCTTCTACGTGCACTCGTTGATGGTCTATATTAACTTTTTGTATTTCTATGATTACTCTCCAAATATGAGGAGCAACCATAAATACAGCGTTATAGAGTTTCTGGTTTTTGTTATTGCGCACAAATTTAAATATGATGTCTTCAGGTGATATAATAAGGTCTTTTATTTTAGTGTTTTGATTGGTGATGATATCAACAAGCTCAGTTACGGGTGTGTCTTTGTAAATTCCCTTAAGTATGACCATAGGCTTGAGTTTTTTCGCTATTTCTGCGCTGACCAGGCTGTCTGGCCGATTTATTGTTTCTAAAATCTTGTCCCTTTGCTCTTGTTTGTCGAACTCAACGCGAAGTTTATGATTAGAGACAGGTTTCACCTCAGCAGGAGTGAAGGTAAGCTCTTTGAAGTGAACACTTTTCCTCCACGCGTGGATGATCTCTTGTGACGAGGATACTGGTTTTTTGGAAGTAATTATTAAAGATGGTTTGGTAATCGGAATTGGGGGTTTCTCAGTAACTTTTGTAGTCTTAACAACTGTGGCGTAACTTGGAATTGCCTTCGGGGTAATATCTGAATGAAGTGGTTTTAGCAGTGGCGGAGCGGAGAACTGCTGAGACTTTAACGCAATCTTTTTCGAATTCTTCTTTAATCGTATTTCTGATTATAGAAGTAGTTTTATTTTCGGTAGATAGTGTTGACTGTCGTAAAATATTTTTAACTTGGTCGTGTAACTGCTGCGTGCTGCGCTTAATTTCTTCCAGAGACTTTTTAATACTTTCCTTGTTTATGCGAGTGACACTTCTACTACCATCTAGGGTTTTTTGTATTAAATCAGTGTGTTCGTTAATTTTTAAAAGGTACTCGTCGTTAAAGTTAGGGCTGGATTCAGATCGGGCTTCTTCAAATTCTTCGTCAGTTATATTTGCAGGATCTTCAGTCCTAACAATTTCTTGACTTAAATTTTGACTGGGTATGGATTCAGTACACGAATTGCTGAGAACTGACATTTGTGTGATACGAATCTAATTAATTAATGAAAACCGGAAGGGTGGGAGGGCGACTTTTGCCTAAACTCGGTTTAGGTAAATAGTGATTTTTTCCAATTCCGTGTGTTTTACTTATAAAATTTTAGTGCAGATGGCTATTTCTACACGGGACGGACCTAACAGAAGCAAAAAGAGCGAAAGAAACAAAGATTTAAAAAAATTTTTAAAAATTTTATGAAAATAGAACTATTGGAAAACGAATTATGCGAAAATCAGTAATTTATCGGCGAAAATTTACTAAGAAAACTATATGTGAATACGCGGGACAGTTAATTACACTATTTTAGAAGAAAATTCGAACGGAAAAGGCCAATTTTCAGCCGAGTTATATTTTTGAATTGATGTTTTTATTAATGAAATTACGTAAATAAGGGACTGAAAATATGAAAATTTATATATGTAACGTTCAGAATTTACCAAGAAAACTATATAGAAATACGGGGGGGCAGTTAGTTATACTATATAATTAGAAATTTTAATAGGAAAAGGGCTATTTTCAGCCGAATTATAGATGAATTTATGTTTTTATTAGTGAATTTACTTATAAAATGGATGGAAAATGTGAAAATTAATTATATTGCGGTGAAAATTTACTATGAAAACTATAGGGGAATACGAGGAGCAATTAGTTCTATTATTTAGAAAAGATTTGAGCGAAAAAGACCTATTTTTAGCAAAGTTATAAGCAAAGATGTAGTTCGGTTAGGTTAGGTTTTTTTTTTTTTTTTTTTTTTTTTTTTTTTACTCAGTTCATCTGCTGTTATTTCTTTTACAGCACCTTTGTTTTATTTCTTTTTTTTATCTATTTTCTTTTACTAGGTTTTTTTTTTTTTTTTAACAGTATTCCTCCGTATTTTATCTTGCATGATATATAGAGCTTTACATGACTGTTCGTCTGCAAGTACTTACAAACTTATGAGGCTTTAAACAAAAACTTTAGAAGCGCATGATACTCTACAGTTTGACTACACTATTATTGTAACTGCTAATACACTATTAATGCTTATTGTTTTTAAAACTACTTAATACTATGGTTTTATCTATTTGAATGTTTCTATGTAATGTATTAATCAATATTATACGCGGATTGTGTACTACACAATTTTTTTTTTTATTATTAACAATATTCTACCGTATTTTATCTTACGTGCACTTTAGAATTTTACATGACTGTTCTGCAAGTGATCAAGTGATCAAAATTTTTAAGTTATAAAGCTTAAAAACGTAAACTTAAGAACATATTAATCTACAGTTTTACTACACTACTAGTATTACTATAACTACTTATACAATACTAGTACTTATTGTTTCTACAGCTACTTACTACTACGAATTATCTATTTAAATGTTTCTACGGAATATATATATATATATATATATATATATATATATATATATATATATATATATATATATATATATATATATTTTATATATAAGTATATGTTAGTATACTTTAGATCCATTTTCCTTGAGTACCTTTTTCAAACAATTTTCAGCAAAATCAAGGAAATGCATGTAGCTGTCATTGTCGTTGATAGCCTTACAAAGTGTAGTTTCATTTAGTGCAAAGCCCATGCGGTGTTCGCAGCTTATTCTTTGTACTGCATATTTGGGACAATCTATTAGCACATGTTCAATTGTTTGTGGTGTTGACTGGTCACAGTCACAGCATGGGCTCTGCGTCAGTTTAAATTTACATAGATACGCCTTAAAACCTCCATGTCCAGTAAAAATTTGACATCTCATATTATTAATCTTGATATTCTTCATGGTTTTGTAAGCTTGCTTAACAGTTGTGAAGAACTTCTTTGTCACTTGTCCCGTTAGTGCTGTTGTATATCTTTCTTGCCAAATTAGCAAAGATTTGTCCCTGATGGAGCGCTTTGCGAAAGAGAGAGGAAAACAGTCGTACACTGGAGTCTGCTTCAGTGTCTCCGCGGCGGACTTTGCGAGCTCATCTGCCCTCTCATTACCTGGAATGCCGCAGTGGGCTTTGATCCAAAAGAGTCTAACTTTGCCTTGATTGCTTTCTATTTCTCGCATACTTTCCATAATTTTTGCTGCGAGGGGGTGTAGTGCATTAGGGTTAGTGAGACTTTCCAGCGCCGATTTAGAATCACTGAGGATGTTTGCCATTTTTAGTGTTTTGTTGCTTAGGATTATTTCTGTGGCTTTTAGTATAGCTGCTAATTCTGCTTGATATACACTACAATGATCGCCAAGTCGTAATCTGGATTTATATATTTCTTTCCCGTCTTTCCAGCAGGTGATAGCTGCTCCCACTTTGCCTGTAATCTTGCTCCCGTCAGTATATATGCAGGGCCAGTCATTTCCGATAGAGTCAAGATCTTCCTCTGCAGTTATTAAGTTATAAGTTTGGTTCACGCGTTTGGCTGGATGAGGTAGCGAGTACGGACTTACAGCTTTTGCTAGTTCCCTGCCTGGTAATTGTTCCAGTGGTTTCCCCCTTTTAATTCTAAATAGGTCGGCGTTTTCTTGTGCTCTTAGGTCTAGGGGAAGAATTCTAGCTAAAGTGGCGCATGAAATTAAAGAAGAAGTGCGGTGTGCTTTACATATCAGTATACTGAAGGTTCTCGTTATCCTGTCAAGCCTGGTTTTTATTTGTTTCTTATTCGCCACATGTCCCCATACACTTGCAGCATACAATACGGTTGGTTCTACTATAGTTATGTAGATTGTCCTAAGAATTTCAGGATTCAGGCCCCAGTTTGTTCTTGCTGTTTTTGCCACTTTTTTATAAAGTTGGATTGCTTTTTCAGTTACCCTGTCTACATGTTTAAGGAAATTTAGGTTGGCGTCAATTGTGAGTCCAAGTATTGTTATCGTGTCAGAGATAATTATTTCCGTTCCTCCCAGTACTATCTTTGGATTTTCGAATTTCGTTTTTTTTGTTATCAGTATAGCTTGAGTTTTCTGGGGTGCCAGTTTCATTTTTCTTTTTTTTGCCCATTTTATGATGTGGTTTAATACCGGGTTTAGCTCATTTTCTAGATCTTTTGCTGATTTTCCTTTAGCTATTATCGTTATATCGTCTGCGTATGCTTGAATGTATGTTCCTAGACCTTCAACTTCTGTTAGTAATGGGTCGAGCTGCAAGTTCCATAGCAGGGGTCCGCAGGTAGATCCCTGTATGCAGCCTTTGTTAGTTTCCTTTATCACCTCATGACCAGCATAAGTGAGTTTTATTTGCCTGTCCTGTAGATAACTGCTTATTAACCTGCATATTGATTTATCTACTTTCTTATTTTCTAGCTCGTTTATCATTCCGGGCCACCAGGCATTGTCAAATGCGCCCTCAATATCAATGGAGATGACGACCACAATTTCCTTTCGTTTTAAGCCTTGTTTTACAATTTCCAGGGCATCATACAGGGCGTCTTCTGTACCGCGCTGGGCGACAAAACCATACTGCCGCCCGCTCATTTTGTTTTCGGACCATAATTGCCACATCATTCTATTAACAAATAGCTTCTCTAGTACTTTCCCAAGGACAGGTAGAAGGCCAATTGGTCTATAAGACTTTGGGAGGGTATAGTTTTCCTTGTTTGGCTTTGGAATCACTCGAATTATCGCTCTTTTCCAAACTTTAGGAAAATGCCCAAGTAGAAGGCATTTAGTGTATATGGCTAGTAGGATTTGTGGAGCCGCCTCATAGGCTCTGAAGCATATGTCAGATGTAAGGCCGTCTTCTCCAGGCGATTTTTTAGGGCTCATGCTTTTAAATATTTCTTCAATTTCAGTGTTGGTGAATGGGATTATTACATCTTTATTCTGGTTATTGGCCCACTCTTTCCTATTATTTTCTGACTTGTTTCTTATTTCTGTGTGTATTTGTTCGTCTGATTGTATGTCATCGTTAGGGTAGAAAATATTTGATAAGAGCTGTGCAGATTGTTTTGGGGTCGTTATCTCACTAGTTGCTGTTTCCCGTAATAATGTGTCTTCAGGAGTTTTGTGAGATTTACGTATCACCCTGTAGATACTTTGCCACATATTCTCCCGGTCCTGCCTAGTACAGAATTCTTTCCAGCTCGATGTTATAGCTTCTTCTAGATGATTTTTGTATTCTACTTTGGTTATAAGATATTCCTCAATTACAGTCTGTTTCCTGTTTTTGTTAGCAAATTTAATTTTTCTTCTTTTTCGTATGAGTTCTTTTTTCTTTTCGTTTAATTCCTTTGTCCACCATGGTGTCTTTGAGGGTATTCTTTGAGATAACTTTGGGATTGTTATATCACAAGATTTTCGTAGGCATTCAACGTACTGCATGATCAAGTCTTCTAAGGCCCATGTTGTTGCTATGTTCATAGTTGCTTCTTCAGTGATATTAATTGACTGTAGTTCTGTTTGTAATGTGGCGGTGAATCTGTTCCAATCCGCTTTGCTGGTATTATAGATGCGGGTAGATTTCCGCTGGTTAGGTTGCCTTATTGAATTCCCAGGTTCTACATCAAACATAATCGCTCTGTGATCCGACAGAGTGACAAAGTCAGGATTAACCCTCCAGTTTAATATTTTGTGGTATATGTTGTTAGAGCATGCGGTTATGTCCACAATACTTGTGTAGTCTTTATCTCCTCTGTGTGCCCAAAATGTTGGTGTACTTCCTGTGTTAAGTATGTTTAACCCCAGTTGGGCTAAGGTCTCAGCAACGGCTGTTCCCCGTCCATCTTCCACGCTACAACCCCACCAGGGACTTTTTGCGTTTATATCCCCTCCAAATATGACATGGTCGTTTCCCAGTGTGTCAATGGATTTTGATATCTTTCTTAAATCTTCATCGATGTTTTGGCCTTCTTCCATATAAGCGTTCACAATACTAATATCTAGGTTATTAATTTTAAAATTACACGCGACAATGTTTTCGGTAATAGTTTCAGGGTTTATAGTATATTGTATGGACGGGTCAACGACAATGACAGCTGACTTGACCGGTTTTTGTGTGTCTGTAGTGTATTTTTGTATAACTGCATGACGGCTGGTAACGTGTGCTTTTGCTCCTACATAGGGTTCCTGTATTAGGAGAATAGCCACTCCTTGCGTTTCGGCCGCCTGCAGGCATTCTTGTTGGGCTAATTGTCCCCTACCGAGATTGATTTGGGCAATTTTTATTTTTCCATACTTTCTGCTCGAAGGTCTTTGTGAGGAAACGTCGGTGACTTTAGCAATATGTGATCGTTGCTCTTGCTATCCGATCCCATTTCCTCCATTCCAGACATTCTGAGCTATATGCAGGGTGTGCACTCTTCGTGTCACACTCATTCTTTTCTACGCAGTTTTTGCACTTAGGCGCTTTATCTCTATTGTGACACTCTCTGGTGTCATGTTCCTCAGCGCAATACCCACAGCATGTTTTTTGAGCTTGGCACTCTCGTGCTCGATGAGAAAACCCAAGACATCGATAGCACTGAGTAACCGGTGACTGATCAACTGCCGGGACTATCTGAAAGCCGAGTCTGATATTCTTGTCTCTCAATTTGCTCCAGATTTGTGAGCTTACTTCGAGTATGATGTTGCTTGTGGAGCTAGTTCTACCCTTTATTCTTCTTACTACTCTGACGTATTGTTGCGTTGATGAGATGCCTTGTAAAAGAGTGCTGTTTTGCTTTATTATTGCTTCTTCGATCTTTTTATCGGTTAGGTCAAAGACCACACCTATTAGGCGTAGGAGTGGGTTCTTAATAGTCGGCCTATAGACCGTCAGCTTGGCTGTGTTGTTCTTTAATTTTTCTTGGAGGATGCTTCTGTCCTCTTCAGATTCACAGCTAATGAGAACTTTTTGATTTTTCGCTTTTCTCATGTTACTGATGCCGATCCCAAGCCCGACTACGTCGACCCCGCTCTTGACCTGTTTTATGATATCATCGCTAGTGTTCCTAGGGTCAGCCGATTCCACTATCACCGGATAATGCGGCTTCATCACCACCTCTGAGAATGTACGTGTGAAGCTTTTATGCTTGAATACTGTTGCTTGATCTCTTTTCTCGTAATCGTTTATATCATCCCCTTTTAGTTGAGAGTTGTTACCAGTGAAGTCTGCTTCATTTACACCTGGTTGGTTCTTTAGCTCTTTTCTGAGGCTCTCTATTGCAACTCTAATTGGAGCTGCTGAATCCACCGTAGTGTCGCGCAGTTCTCTCGTCTCTCTTCTCAGTTCTTCCAGGTTTGCCTGGACTGAGGGTAGCTGAGAATTGAATGAGGCGTCAGTTATTCCTTTGACATCTCTCGTTATCTTCAGGATTTCGTGCCTTAATTCTGCTACCTCTGCTGTTATTTGTGCTTTGATTTCTGAGATATGATCCTGAAGTTCCTCGATAAATTTTTTGTGATGTTTTTCCGATAACATCTCTTGGTTTGGTATCTCTGGGCTGTGTTCACTACTTTGTGTCTGCGGGATTACCCTATCTTTGGTGAGTTCTCTAACCGCCTGACGGAGTTCCTGCAGCTCTTCGGCGAAGCGAGATAAGTCAATTTCTTGACGAGTAGGGTTCTTAAGGGCGTCGGTGTTCGCCCGAAGTTGCTTTAGTTCCTCCATCAAGAATTGCATCTGACTCGAGATGGATGAACCTAGGGTGATTTCTTTACGTACATTGACGATTTCTTTCTTTGTTGCCGTTACCGCCTCACAAAGGTCATACGAGACAATTGATCGGGTAGATTCTGTTTCTTTCAAAAGCTTTTCTACGTTCTCTTTTAAGTTAGCATATTGTCCTAAAGTCTCGTGCATGAACCTTGCATGCCTTTGTGTGAGCCTTTCTGATTCACGTGAGACATTTAGTTTTTGTTTGCTGGATTCAAGAATGTGTAAAATTCTCGAATCAGACAATTTGAGGACCATTTCATATAATGTATACATCCCCGAGACGACACTTTCCCGGATTTCCCTCTTTAGATTTCCAGATTTTTCCAGCTCTGCCTTCGTTCTTTGCAGCACTTCATTGGCATGTCTGGGCAAATCATTAAGGAGCATCCGGTTTCCTCCAATCGACCTCGTGGAAGTATTGAGGGACGTGTTAGTGTCTCCACTGTCAATATCCGACTCTGCGGTGTCTTCAGTCTCCGACAACGTTTTTAGGGCTTCTTTGGCTTCTGCAGCCCTCGCCTGTTTAATCTGTGTGCGTATTCGTAAGAGGCTTGCACCAGTCCTTGATAACACAGGAGATGATGATGTTGCCTCGTCGAGATTTGGTGAAGAGTGAAGCAAGTCTGAGGTCTGCGGTCCCTGTTCATCCTTTTCTGCACTCCACCCTGTCTGGTGGTGCAGTTTTTCGGCTTCCTCTATTTCCAAGAGGTTCAAAACCTTTTCACCCTGTGTTTCCTGAGTTGGTAACTCTGCTGTCTTTATGTCTATATCGGTATGAACTTGGCCGGAGCCCTTTATGGCTTTTGTCACAGTTTTCCTTTTGATTGAAGGTGGTTTATCTGTACTGCCAGTTGCTGTTCTCTTTGGTTTGTCCGCCATTTCTAAACAACCTCAAGTTATAGAGTTCTAAATGCACTTGAGGTAACCGAAAACCGCGTTAAGATCGGACTATTAAAAATGAAGTTACACGCCTTTAAAGATATTCAAGATGGCGGATGACTTGACCAGTTCGGGTGATTTCGGTGGTAACTTAGGATTTTAGGGAGCTATTTAACTTTAATAATGTTGAAAACCGCGTTCAAATCCGACCACTGGTTCGGGAGTTATAGCAAATATAAATTTTCAAGATGGCGGTCCAAGATGGCGGTCGATATTTTAAAAACGGTCTATTTCCCTGTCCACCAGAGGTAAATTATTCGTGTTTGGGCTTGTTAAAATTGTCTTTGCACTAAGTATTTGAATATATCGCCAGTTTGTGCGATTTTTGGCGATTGTTCTTTTTGGTCCTAAATTATTCTAAAGACAATTTAAAGATGACTATTGGAAACCCCACGCTTCTGCGATGAACCGTTTCCGAGATATGAGCCAAACAAGATTTTCAATATGGCGGACAAAATGGTGGAAAAACGATAAATCTTTATATCTCAGCAACGGGAAGTGCTATGATGGTCGTGTTTGGGCTTTAATTTTGTGGAATTACACGGGCAAGCCAACTGTGATATGTAAATCAGCGAAAAGAGAACAGATACTGAAATTTCCTGAAAAAACACTGAAAACTTTATATCTCTCTAACGAAAAGTGATACAACCGTTCTGAAAACGGATTCTTTTTCGGTTTTTAGTGCTCTACGATATCCTTGCGATAAAAATATCGCCAGACTGTTAAAACACAGACCACGTGTTAGAGTGTTTTCAGGAAAATTGAAATAACTCGGAAAGTTTAAGTTCGAAAAATCCAGAACTTTGCAAATAGTTTAAGGATAAGTTTTGCAACTATATTATAAATTAAAAATAATATGTCATCGCTAAGAATCACGCGCAATTAACGAGTGAAAATGAGCCAGTTTTAATAATTTTGCATTTTTGGCTATATCTTCTGGAATACGATGCCGATTTCTGTGCCACAAGTACAGGATTATTGATTTATCAGTGTACTATAATAATGTCTATTCAAATTCAACCGCACGATAGCGGTTTTAATTTTATACACCACGTGGTTTTTCAGTTTTCGCCTAATTACTCCAAATTTAATTAGCGAAAAAATCCAGAACTTATGCCATATGATAGAGCTATATGAATGCCACAAAATAAGATATAAAAATCAGCAGGTCTTCGATCTAAAATGAGCGGCGTACGCAATTTAGTGTAAAATTTTTAGTGAAATTTTACCTGTTTTGCAGTTTTTCCGCTGTTTTTTGCTGAAATATCCTTGTGACACTTAACCTCCCACTAATGGAACAATCACTCGTGCATAGAACACACAGAGATACACGAGACACCACTTGTTTCACAGAAATCGGACAACTTTGACCTATTTTTCGGATTTTTCAAACGCGGAGCAACACGGAAACGATGCGTACGACACGGAAGACGGCGGAATACTGGGTTAGGTTAGGTTAGGTTAGGTTAGGTTAGGTTAGGTTAGGTTAGGTTAGGTTAGGTTAGGTTAGGTTAGGTTAGGTTAGGTTAGGTTAGGTTAGGTTAGGTTAGGTTAGGTTAGGTTTTTTTTTTTTTTTTTTTTTTTTTTATTTGACCTCCCTGAGACTTTGGGAGACTGTTTTTACAATTTGTCTTATTTATCTTCAAAAACTCATTCATACATCATATCTTATACTCTGCTCGTCAGCCATTCAGCATCCCATTTTCATCTCGCTTACATCATTTTTCAATCATGGGCTGAAGGCCATAGTGTACTTACATTCTAATTGAAACACAAAGGGGGCGGGGACAGTGAAGGGGGGAACAATAAAACTTTAATTACATTCATCATTAATGCTAACTTAAGACTATGTTCCTAATTACAATTTATTTACAATTTATTTATGCTAATATATTTATATAACAATATAATTACTTAGCATAACTTACACTCTATTTCTTTTATTTACAGCAATGCACAGTTTTGTACAAAATTTGAGGAACAAGTCTCTATTTTTACCCAGTACAATATCCGGAAGCGTACTTACTTCCAGTTTGCAGTCCAATAAGAACTCCAGCTCTTGCCTCTCACGGTCATGGGCCGGGCAGTCCAGGAGGACGTGGAGAACAGACTCCGAACACGCAGGATCGCAGACGCACGATGGACTCTCCTTACACTTGAAACGATGCAAGTACTCGGAGAATCCACCGTGCCCCGACAATACCTGAGTGACAAATCTGTCCACCTTTATTTTACCGATGACACGGTATGCGGCTATCGCGTCCGGGAAAAAGACCCGGGTGACACCGGCTGTTTCACCGGCCCGGTATCGTTGGTTCCATTCATCAAGCGATCGCATACGAATGCTTCGCCTGATGAATGAAACCGGGCAGCTGTCATAGTCAAAACTGCGTTTAGACTTTAGCGCAGCTTCCTTGGCCAGATGGTCGGCACGCTCATTCCCTTCTAGTCCCGCGTGGGCTTTGATCCAGAACAAATTGACAAGTTTGTCCTGTATCGAAGCCCTGTGCAGGTGGCCCCGCGCCTCGACGGCCGGTTAGGTTAGGTTAGGTTAGGTTAGGTTAGGTTAGGTTAGGTTAGGTTAGGTTAGGTTAGGTTAGGTTAGGTTAGGTTAGGTTAGGTTAGGTTAGGTTAGGTTAGGTTAGGTTAGGTTAGGTTAGGTTAGGTTAGGTTAGGTTAGGTTAGGTTAGGTTAGGTTAGATTAGGTTAGGTTAGGTTAGGTTAGGTTAGGTTAGGTTTTTTTTTTTTTTTTTTTTTTTTTTTTTACTATTATCCTCCGACATGTTAATCGGAGACCTTATGTAGCTGATTGCTTTTTTTTATATATTTATGTTTATTTTAATTTTTCATTATTTTTATATAGCTTTTTTTCTTTCTCTTCTTTTTTTTTCTTTTTTTTCTGTGTTCTATGAACTACGTTTTTTGTTTTTTCAATATCAGGTGCTTTTCGGTACTTTGATTTTTTGTTTAAGTATATTTTTGTTGTTACTTTTCCTTTTTTATCGATTACAAATGTGGTTAATTCTTATTTTATTAATTCTTTTTTTTTTTTTTACTATTCTACACTATTTCTAATTAAATTCTCTTGTTTTTTTTTCTTATTATGTTGCATACTTATTTTATATAATATTAGGACATATGTACTCATATGTCTAATTATATAGTTTTCTTACTCTCTTGTTTTTTTTTTTTTTTCCTTTTTTTACCAAGGTTTTTTTTTTTTTTATTGTACTTTTTGTTTGATGTATCTTATTCTATATTCTAAATTAATTTTATCTTGTTCTTGTTTAGGTACTTTTATTAGTTTTTATGATTTTATTTGCTACGGTTATACAATATTTTGTGAAAATGTTTCTGCCGCGTTTGTCTTCCATTATGTTATGTATATTTTCTTTTGTCAATTTTAATCCTATCTGCAGTTTCACGTCTGCTCTATTTTTGCAAAATTGAGGGCAGTCTATAATTATGTGCAGAGAAGATTGGGGTTGGTTGTTATCACACGTACAGTCTGGTCTAGATTTTATTTTAAAACGGAACAAATAATCTGCAAAGCCTCCATGACCGGTGAAAACTTGTACTAATATTGGCGTTAAATTAATTTGTTTTAGGATGCGATATGCTGCTTCTACGTCTGGAAAAAATACTTTTGTAATTTCGGCTTTTTCTTCTGTTAAATATCTCTTATGCCATTCCTTAATTGTTTTATGTCTAATTTGGTTCTTTATGAACGAAATCGGACATTTTGCGTAATTTAATTTTGTTTTTAATTTTAAAGCTGCTTCCTTTGCGAGTTCATCTGCGCGTTCATTTCCGGGAATACCTACATGTGCTTTAACCCAATACAGCCCTATCCTCCTTTTTTGACTTCTTAATTTAGCGATATCTCGCCTAATTTCGAAAGCCAACGGTTGATATGCTGATTGATTTTTGACAAGTTCCAGTGCAGATCTTGAATCACTGTATATGTAAGTACTTTGGTAATTCTTTGCTTTTTGAATAGCTTGATGCATTGCGTACAGGTCAGCCTGAAAGACAGTGCAGAATGAATCTAATTTGAATTTTTTATTATCTATTTCTTGTTTATTTCTCCAAATAGAGATTGCAGCTCCAACCTTGCCCTCAATTTTACTTCCATCGGTGAATATTCGTATGCTGTTTGTATGTGGTTCCTCTAATTTTTCTGATGTTGTATTCTCTATTACTTCAAAGTCAATTTCTTCTTCGCAGGCTGGATGCATCATTTCTAAAAAACTTACTTTTCCTTCGATCTCTCTGTCTTTAAGTAGGTTAGCATCTGGTTTACCGCGTTTTGCTTCATACAAATATGCAGCTTCGCGTAACCTTAAATCTAAAGGTAGTAGTCCTGAGAGTATCAATGCTGCGTTTAGTGAGACCGTGCGATATGATTTACAAATTTTTTGTGCAAATCCCCTCTGCACTGCGTTTAGCTGGTTTTTGATTGCTATTTTGTGGGCAGCTGGTGCCCAAACGCTTGCGGCATACATTATAACTGGTTCAATAACTGATACGTAAATCGTTCTGATCACCTCGGGTTTAAGCCCCCATGAAATTTTTGCTGCACGAGCCAGTAATTTATAAATATTTATGGATTTTTGACAAATATAGGAAACATGACTATTAAATTTCAATTTTTTATCGATGATTAGGCCTAATATTTTTATCTCATCTACTATTTTTATTTCTTTACCTCCCATGAACAATTGCGGGGTTTCATACTTCAATTTATTTGTTACTATCATACCATAAGTTTTTTGTGGGGCAAATTTTAATTTATTTTTTGATCCCCATTCATATATGTGTGAAAGAGTTTCATCTACATTTATTTTAATATCGCTTGTCACGTGACCCGAGAAGATCAGAACGATATCGTCGGCGAAGGCTTGGCAATACACTCCACGCTCTTCTAGTTCATTTCGCAACGGATCCAATAGCAAATTCCAAAATATGGGACCACCAATCGAGCCTTGAATGCACCCTTTTGTATTATTTTTTGTAAATTCTTCGTTCGCATATCTAACTGTAACTTTCCTATCTGTAAAATAACTATTTACTAATCTACGTAGATTCACAGGACACTTTATCTCCATCAGTCTATTTTTAATAGCAGGCCACCACGCGCTGTCGAAGGCCCCCCTCTATGTCTAAGGATATTACAATACTTATTTCCTTATTTCTCAGATTGTTCTTGATGTGTAATATCAAGTCATAGAGGGAGTCCTCCGTACAGCGCTGTGGGACGAACCCATACTGACGGGGATTTAATTTTGGCAAAATGTAATATTTTAGTCTTCTCACCATCATCTTTTCTAGGATCTTACCCATGACAGAGAGGAGCCCTATCGGCCTATATGATTTCGCGAGAGAGTAATCCGTTTTTCCCGGTTTTCTAAGTGCTAACACAGTAGCTTCCTTCCATGGATCCGGAAAGTATGATAATTCTAAGCACTTGTTCAACAAGGCTAAGAATATCTGCTTATCAACGTTTATCGCCGCGGCACAGATGTCCGCTGTGAGGCCATCTGAACCTGGCGCCTTCCTTGGATGGAAGCTGCTGGTAGCAAATTGTAATTCGGTTGCTGTAAATGGAACATCCCAAATATCATCTGTAGTTTGAGTGCACATTCTGTTAGCTTTCATTCGTGTATGATATTGTTCTGGTATTTCGTTTTCCAAATTGTCATCGAGGAAAAATGTCTCCGCCATATGTTTCACTGATTCCTCTGCATCCAACGATTTACCTTCCCTAATTAACAGTATGTCCTCGTGTCTTTTTGATGTTTTCCTGATTACTCTATAGATCCCGTCCCATAGACTTTCCCTATCCTGCTTACCGCAAAACTTTTTCCAACTGTTGATTTGTGCTTGTGCTACTTCTTCTTCATATTTATTTTTTATCTCCAAATATTGTTCTACTACGTAGCGCCGACGGCGAGAGGCAGCATACGATATTCTTCTTTTCTTCACTGTCATTTCTTTTTTTAACTTATTAAGCTCTTCTGTCCACCACGGTATAGTAATTTTATTTCTAGTTTTAATTTTTGGGATATTCGAATCACTTGCTTCCTTAACACATTCTATATATGTATTAATTGTAGTTTTTAGTTTTTCCTTTGATTTTAGTTCTGTTATCTCTTCTTCACTAATATTTTTCATTTTAAGTGTTTCACATAGTTTATTTTTAAAATCTGTCCATTTCGCCCTTTTAGTATTATATATTCTAGTACTTTTAAAATTATTATTTTCCGTAGGTTTTAACAATGCTAGTTTAAATGTTATACAGTTGTGGTCAGAACTTATAATAGCTTTATTTACTCTCCAATCCTTCACTTTACTTAATAAATTTTCGCTACTGATTGTTACGTCTACTATACTCTGATAGATATTCCCACCCCTAATAGTATCAAATGTGGGTTCATTTCCTTCATTTAATATGTGCATACCTGTATCCTCTATCATTCCTGCCAATTCCTCTCCCCTATGATCTTCCCTAGCACTTCCCCACCACGTACTCCATGCATTGAAATCACCTCCTATTAGTACGTATTTTGTTTTTAGTTTTTCAATGATAGTTTTCAGTTGTGCGAGATAGGGTTCGATAGGTAAACTGTCCTCAAAATAGACCGATATGACTCCTAATTCCCACTTATTCGTTTTTAATTGAGCCACTGCTATATTCTCCGTTACGAGTGTTGGATCCTCTATGACATTAATATTTTGATCAAAAACTATTACTGCTGCCTTTACAGGTTTAGTTCTGTTTCTTGTACACTGAATTACTTTTGTCCCTTTTTCTTGTTTAAGTTCCCCTAATGCTCCAATATATGGTTCCTGTACCAAAGCGATATTAATTTTTCTTTGTTCTGCTTCTATCATTAACTCTTTAGTTGCTAATTTCTTCCTCTGGAGATTTGCTTGTATAATACGGTAGTCCTGTGGATTTCTTAATGATTCTTCATCACTGGTGGTCCCATAATTCGTTGTATCGATTTCAGCAATACGCTACACTCGATCTCGCGATCGCGTCCCATTTCCTTCGGATAGGGCAACTGTCGTCAAATGCATTGTGGTCTGCCCTTTCGCTTTTTGCGTGCAAACAATTGCGACATGTCGGTGGTTCTTTTACTGCCCATAATGGACAGTCGTCCTTAACATGGGGTCCGGCACAATGGCTGCATAAATCCTGTGTCTCTTTACAGAATTTCTTTCCGTGACCGTACCCCAGACACCGCGTACACTGTACCAACGGTGATTGGTCTCTTACTATTACACGTTGCAAGTCAATGTGGACTTTTTCCACTGTTGTCAGTCTCTGCCACACTTTTGGGGATACTTGAATTACAACATGATTAATATGCGGATTCCTAGCTTTTTTCCGATATTTAATTGCTGCTCTGTATTGATCATCTGGTATATCGGATAGGAGTTGCTTATTCTGGTTTTTCAGAGCTGCTAGAATATCTTCGTCTTTATTTAAAGATAGAACATCTCTCATAATTATCAGAGGGTCTTTATTCTCGACTTCTTGTACTAGCAATTTTGAGGATGCTCTTTTGATTCTTTCCGCAATTTTTTGAACTTCGTCATGTGTCTGGCATCCCACTATTACCTTTTGATCCCTGGCCTTCCGTAGTTTATCCACTCTCAACCCAGTGATTTTAGCGTCAATTGCTGTTCTAATTTTATTTATTATATCTCCGCTAGTGTCTTGTTCTTCTTCAGACGATACCAGAACTGAGTGCATTGGAGCCATCATTTTACTGTTTATTTTGGCCTTAGGTCGACCGGCTATGCTGGCATATGTGGGTTCATTTGTTTCGCTTATAACCAAAGACTCTCGAAGTCCACCCATTTGGTCTTTTAGGGATGATAATTCTTCTTTTATTTCCATCAGTTCCCTTCTGGTATCCTCCGATTTGCCCATAAAAGTATGTTTATCCAATAAGGTGTCATTGCCCATCGTGTGCTTCAATGAGTCCGTTAGGGTTCTCATATCACTCACTGTTTCGGTGAGAGCAGACTGAATATCTCTTATACTACCCTGATCCATTAGTGCTCTAAGGCTCTCTACATACTGTTTTTCTTGCCTAAGTAGATCGTCTTTAAGTTGTATACGAGCTTTCTCCAATTGTAGGAGTAGAGTCTGCCTTTCTTCGTTTAACTGTAATACGATTCCAAAGAGTTCAGAAAGGTTATTTACCACCGTCTCTTTTATGGAAGTCTTTAAGTTTCCAGACTGCTCTAGCTGCAACTTAGCGTCCTGATATAATCTATTGGCCTTAGACATCGCTGTTACAGCTATTTCTAGTACATCGGATTTCCGAGTGTGTATTTCTTTTGGTTTCTCTTTGGTTGCAATATTCTGTAAAGTGGGACGTTTCCGCTGCTCTTCGGACCTATTTACGTTACCTGGCACTGAACTCATTTTAATTTTTTGTAAATAAGAGACTTTTGTAAATTTATATATATGAATCTACCTTAGTAATGAAAACAGGGTGGGTGGGAGGGCGAAATTTTGCTAATTTCTACGTTTATTGTTGCAGATTTTGGCTGATACGGCGGTTGTGGAGTAAGGTGGACCTGATAGGAGCAAAAACGGAAGAGATTTGTAAAATTTTAATATAGACGAAAAATTTTGATATATTACGTTTCTCAAAAACAATAATTTTTAATTTAAATTAGAAATATCGCCCGAAATGGCTTGAAAACACAGTAAACTAATAAGACTAAACTAATTAAATATTTCAGGGCAGCCAGGGAATTTTTACAATGTTTTTATGCAAAGTTATAAGGTGTAATTGTATGAAAATTTGTTCTGACCACTATACCTCGGTATCTATCTTTCTTAAAATTTTGCTAATTTCTACGTTTATTGTTGCAGATTTTGGCTGATACGGCGGTTGTGGAGTAAGGTGGACCTGATAGGAGCAAAAACGGAAGAGATTTGTAAAATTTTAATATAGACGAAAAATTTTGATATATTACGTTTCTCAAAAACAATAATTTTTAATTTAAATTAGAAATATCGCCCGAAATGGCTTGAAAACACAGTAAACTAATAAGACTAAACTAATTAAATATTTCAGGGCAGCCAGGGAATTTTTACAATGTTTTTATGCAAAGTTATAAGGTGTAATTGTATGAAAATTTGTTCTGACCACTATACCTCGGTATCTAACTTTCTTAAAATTTTGCTAATTTCTACGTTTATTGTTGCAGATTTTGGCTGATACGGCGGTTGTGGAGTAAGGTGGACCTGATAGGAGCAAAAACGGAAGAGATTTGTAAAATTTTAATATAGACGAAAAATTTTGATATATTACGTTTCTCAAAAACAATAATTTTTAATTTAAATTAGAAATATCGCCCGAAATGGCTTGAAAACACAGTAAACTAATAAGACTAAACTAATTAAATATTTCAGGGCAGCCAGGGAATTTTTACAATGTTTTTATGCAAAGTTATAAGGTGTAATTGTATGAAAATTTGTTCTGACCACTATACCTCGGTATCTAACTTTCTTAAAATTTTGCTAATTTCTACGTTTATTGTTGCAGATTTTGGCTGATACGGCGGTTGTGGAGTAAGGTGGACCTGATAGGAGCAAAAACGGAAGAGATTTGTAAAATTTTAATATAGACGAAAAATTTTGATATATTACGTTTCTCAAAAACAATAATTTTTAATTTAAATTAGAAATATCGCCCGAAATGGCTTGAAAACACAGTAAACTAATAAGACTAAACTAATTAAATATTTCAGGGCAGCCAGGGAATTTTTACAATGTTTTTATGCAAAGTTATAAGGTGTAATTGTATGAAAATTTGTTCTGACCACTATACCTCGGTATCTAACTTTCTTAAAATTTTGCTAATTTCTACGTTTATTGTTGCAGATTTTGGCTGATACGGCGGTTGTGGAGTAAGGTGGACCTGATAGGAGCAAAAACGGAAGAGATTTGTAAAATTTTAATATAGACGAAAAATTTTGATATATTACGTTTCTCAAAAACAATAATTTTTAATTTAAATTAGAAATATCGCCCGAAATGGCTTGAAAACACAGTAAACTAATAAGACTAAACTAATTAAATATTTCAGGGCAGCCAGGGAATTTTTACAATGTTTTTATGCAAAGTTATAAGGTGTAATTGTATGAAAATTTGTTCTGACCACTATACCTCGGTATCTAACTTTCTTAAAATTTTGCTAATTTCTACATTTATTGTTGCAGATTTTGGCTGATACGGCGGTTGTGGAGTAAGGTGGACCTGATAGGAGCAAAAACGGAAGAGATTTGTAAAATTTTAATATAGACGAAAAATTTTGATATATTACGTTTCTCAAAAACAATAATTTTTAATTTAAATTAGAAATATCGCCCGAAATGGCTTGAAAACACAGTAAACTAATAAGACTAAACTAATTAAATATTTCAGGGCAGCCAGGGAATTTTTACAATGTTTTTATGCAAAGTTATAAGGTGTAATTGTATGAAAATTTGTTCTGACCACTATACCTCGGTATCTAACTTTCTTAAAATTTTGCTAATTTCTACATTTATTGTTGCAGATTTTGGCTGATACGGCGGTTGTGGAGTAAGGTGGACCTGATAGGAGCAAAAACGGAAGAGATTTGTAAAATTTTAATATAGACGAAAAATTTTGATATATTACGTTTCTCAAAAACAATAATTTTTAATTTAAATTAGAAATATCGCCCGAAATGGCTTGAAAACACAGTAAACTAATAAGACTAAACTAATTAAATATTTCAGGGCAGCCAGGGAATTTTTACAATGTTTTTATGCAAAGTTATAAGGTGTAATTGTATGAAAATTTGTTCTGACCACTATACCTCGGTATCTAACTTTCTTAAAATTTTGCTAATTTCTACGTTTATTGTTGCAGATTTTGGCTGATACGGCGGTTGTGGAGTAAGGTGGACCTGATAGGAGCAAAAACGGAAGAGATTTGTAAAATTTTAATATAGACGAAAAATTTTGATATATTACGTTTCTCAAAAACAATAATTTTTAATTTAAATTAAAAATATCGCCCGAATTGGCTTGAAAACACAGTAAACTAATAAGACTAAACTAATTAAATATTTCAGGGCAGCCAGGGAATTTTTACAATGTTTTTATGCAAAGTTATAAGGTGTAATTGTATGAAAATTTGTTCTGACCACTATACCTCGGTATCTAACTTTCTTAAAATTTTGCTAATTCCCAAATTTCTACGTTTATTGTTGCAGATTTTGGCTGATACGGCGGTTGTGGAGTAAGGTGGACCTGATAGGAGCAAAAACGGAAGAGATTTGTAAAATTTTAATATAGACGAAAAATTTTGATATATTACGTTTCTCAAAAACAATAATTTTTAATTTAAATTAGAAATATCGCCCGAAATGGCTTGAAAACACAGTAAACTAATAAGACTAAACTAATTAAATATTTCAGGGCAGCCAGGGAATTTTTACAATGTTTTTATGCAAAGTTATAAGGTGTAATTGTATGAAAATTTGTTCTGACCACTATCCTCGGTATCTAATTCTAAAATTATCACACTCTATACGGCGGTTTGTAAGGTGGACCTCGTATCTAACTTTCTAAATTTTGCTAATTTCTACATTTATTGTTGCAGATTTTGGCTGATACGGCGTTGTGAGTAAGGTGGACCTCGGTATCTAACTTTCTTAAAATTTTGCTAATTTCTACATTTATTGTTGCAGATTTTGGCTGATACGGCGGTTGTGGAGTAAGGTGGACCTGATGGGAGCAAAAACGGAAGAGATTTGTAAAATTTTAATATAGACGAAAAATTTTGATATATTACGTTTCTCAAAAACAATAATTTTTAATTTAAATTAGAAATATCGCCCGAAATGGCTTGAAAACACAGTAAACTAATAAGACTAAACTAATTAAATATTTCAGGGCAGCCAGGGAATTTTTACAATGTTTTTATGCAAAGTTATAAGGTGTAATTGTATGAAAATTTGTTCTGACCACTATACCTCGGTATCTATCTTTCTTAAAATTTTGCTAATTTCTACATTTATTGTTGCAGATTTTGGCTGATACGGCGGTTGTGGAGTAAGGTGGACCTGATAGGAGCAAAAACGGAAGAGATTTGTAAAATTTTAATATAGACGAAAAATTTTGATATATTACGTTTCTCAAAAACAATAATTTTTAATTTAAATTAGAAATATCGCCCGAAATGGCTTGAAAACACAGTAAACTAATAAGACTAAACTAATTAAATATTTCAGGGCAGCCAGGGAATTTTTACAATGTTTTTATGCAAAGTTATAAGGTGTAATTGTATGAAAATTTGTTCTGACCACTATACCTCGGTATCTAACTTTCTTAAAATTTTGCTAATTTCTACATTTATTGTTGCAGATTTTGGCTGATACGGCGGTTGTGGAGTAAGGTGGACCTGATAGGAGCAAAAACGGAAGAGATTTGTAAAATTTTAATATAGACGAAAAATTTTGATATATTACGTTTCTCAAAAACAATAATTTTTAATTTAAATTAGAAATATCGCCCGAAATGGCTTGAAAACACAGTAAACTAATAAGACTAAACTAATTAAATATTTCAGGGCAGCCAGGGAATTTTTACAATGTTTTTATGCAAAGTTATAAGGTGTAATTGTATGAAAATTTGTTCTGACCACTATACCTCGGTATCTAACTTTCTTAAAATTTTGCTAATTTCTACGTTTATTGTTGCAGATTTTGGCTGATACGGCGGTTGTGGAGTAAGGCCCATAACTTCTAAAATTTTTAATTTCTACATTTATCAGATTTTGGCTGATACGGTGTGGAGAGTGGACCTGATAGGAGCAAAAACGGAAGAGATTTGTAAAATTTTAATATAGACGAAAAATTTTGATATATTACGTTTCTCAAAAACAATAATTTTTAATTTAAATTAGAAATATCGCCCGAGATGGCTTGAAAACACAGTAAACTAATAAGACTAAACTAATTAAATATTTCAGGGCAGCCAGGGAATTTTTACAATGTTTTTATGCAAAGTTATAAGGTGTAATTGTATGAAAATTTGTTCTGACCACTATACCTCGGTATCTAACTTTCTTAAAATTTTGCTAATTTCTACGTTTATTGTTGCAGAACGGCGTTGTGGAGTAAGTGGACCTAACTTTCTAAAATTTTCTAATTTCTACATTTATGTTCAATTTTGCTATATGTGAAAGGGCCCACTTTCTAAAATTTTGCTAATTTCTACATTTATTGTTGCAGATTTTGCTGATACGGCGGTTGTGGAGTAAGGTGGACCTGATGGGAGCAAAAACGGAAGAGATTTGTAAGATTTTAATATAGACGAAAAATTTTGATATATTACGTTTCTCAAAAACAATAATTTTTAATTTAAATTAGAAATATCGCC